TATCCTCATAAAAGTATCTGGAAAGTATTCTTAATTTGAAATTAAGTCATTTGAGAATTAAATTAGGATTGTTTTAAAACTTAATTAATTAGATTTGGGGGCAAAAACCAGTTGAAACCATATACATATGTTGAATAATCTTTTAAAGGAAATCACATTAAGATACACGTTTGCAAGTACCTTCCAGAAATGTACCAGAGTATTGAACATTTGTTCTATACAGAACTATATATTGGGAGTAGTTTTCCTCTAGTGACGAAAACTTTCATCACATACAAATTTTCATGAGAAATGGTTGTGACATGTGATTTTTTGCTTCCAGATTATTTTCTGACATCAGTATTTACATTGACTTGGCTTTAGCTGACTAATATTATGATATAGTTATTTATGTTTCATGCATGGCTGATTATAAAAGGTATTTAGAGTGATGGTGGTGTGTGGGTGGCATATTTAATGTGTATTATAGGGTTGACACAAAATTAGGTATATTGCTCAGTCAGCTGTGTGGATCATCTTGAGGCAGGCTCTCCTTGTAGTATACACATGTACATCTTACCACAGACATTACCACTGATACACACATACATCTTACCACAGATATACCACTAATACACATGTACATCTTACCATAGACATTACCACTGATACACATGTACATCTTACCACAGACATTACCACTGATACACATATACATCTTACCACAGACATTACCACTGATACACATGTACATCTATCTTACCACAGACATTACCACTGATACACATGTACATCTTACCACAGACATTATCACTGATACACATGTACATCTTACCACAGGTATAACCACTGATACACATGTACCACTGATACACACATACATCTTACCACAGACATTACCACTGATACACACATACATCTTACCACAGACATTACCACTGATACACACATACATCTTACCACAGATATACCACTAATACACATGTACATCTTACCATAGACATTACCACTGATACACATGTACATCTTACCACAGACATTACCACTGATACACATATACATCTTACCACAGACATTACCACTGATACACATGTACATCTATCTTACCACAGACATTACCACTGATACACATGTACATCTTACCACAGACATTATCACTGATACACATGTACATCTTACCACAGGTATAACCACTGATACACATGTACCACAAACATTACCACTGATACACACATACATCTTACCACAGGTATAACCACTGATACCACTGATACACACATACATCTTACCACAGACATTACCACTGATACACACATACATCTTACCACAGATATACCACTAATACACATGTACATCTTACCATAGACATTACCACTGATACACATGTACATGTTACCACAGACATTACCACTGATACACATATACATCTTACCACAGACATTACCACTGATACACATGTACATCTATCTTACCACAGACATTACCACTGATACACATGTACATCTTACCACAGACATTATCACTGATACACATGTACATCTTACCACAGACATTACCACTGATACATACATACATCTTACAACAGACATAACCACTAATACACATGTACATCTTACCACAGGTATGACCACTGATACACATGTACCACAAACATTACCACTGATACACACATACATCTTACCACAGGTATAACCACTGATACATATGTACCACAGACATTACCACTGATACACACATACATCTTACCACAGGCATAACCACTGATACACATGTACCACAGACATTACCACTGATACACATGTACATCTTACCACAGGTATAACCACTGATACACATGTACCACAGACATTACCACTGATACACATGTACATCTTACCACAGGTATAACCACTGATACACATGTACCAAAGGCATTACCACTGATTCACATGTACATCTTACCACAGGCATACATACAGGTTATATGGCTCCAGAGCCCTTGATCTGTCTTTATGTTTGAAACAATTTTTCCAATAAATATTTTTATTAGACAAACAAAACTAGATAACAACAACAGCTGCTATGTTTACAAGGCTTCTGATGGTGGATATGAGAATGACCTTTTAAACTTATACAATATTCAGTTTACTACCTCTCATTGTCTCTGAAAAGTTGTTGTCAGAAAATCTGCGTGTTAAATATTAGGATTCTAACTAAGCCCACCATTGTTGGACAAGAATTATTGACAATGTAGGCTATTCAAATTGCCCTTCACCTGTTGTCTGTTTTTTTTTTTTTTGTTTTTGTCCGTCTGTCTGTCCATTCATTCTTAAACACTTCTTGTTATTACTATTTCTGGAGGAGTAGCGGTTGCAAAGTTCTCAAATTTTAAATGTGTATTTACATTGGTCTTTTGGTACCGATCAGAAAAACAAGATGGCTGACACAAATAACATTTGTACATCAGTGGTACACCACACAAGAAACATGGCTGTGATGTGTTGCAGGTCTCCTGTGGGCATCTAATAATATCTCTTTCATCCTTAAGCTATGTGTTTCATAATTTTGTTTTAATATTTTACAATAGAAAATGCACTTTTATACATAAGAAACTATTTCTATGATCAATAATAAATACATTATTTTCTTATGAAGAAAAAAATGAGTTTGTGTGATAGATGTTCTACTAGAACAAAGTCTGAATGAAACAATTACTTTATCAAGGACTATTCTCTATGGTGCTAAACTGATGATTAATACTCAAGATCTTCATTGTACTTTGAGCAATCTGCTCTGCAATAGTTTTGGTGTTTTGCATATACACATAAATAGGTTAGGGCATACATGCTGTATTAAGAAAGCATCAGAAAGCCTTCCTATTGTATCAAGTGTAGTATATTCTTTCCTGATTAAAACCTAAGACAACATTTTAAGGTTTTAATCTTTCATGGTTATAACATACTATACACATTCTTTACTCGGGAGACTTATTCACTGAAATTTATTTACGAGGTTTTGATGTTTCCTCGTAAATTTTTTTTTTTCATAATAACTATATATTGCTTCAGTTTTATATTTGGTACCTTGGAGGTGATATTATTGTTTAAACGGAGCACTTTTAACAAACTGATATATATTGCAGTCTTTAGCAGGCAGCAATTGAAATGTGTACGTGTTATTCTGCCGGGAGTGTTTGTATTGTATTCCATCCATATATCACGTTTATCTACCATTTGTCCCTAATGACCATTCACGTCCCTCATTGACGTCCTCTCTCATTGTTATTATCACACGTATTCCCAATGAGGCCAACTGAAACCGACTATGGATACCTCGAGCCTTTTTGTCCGATTTCTATATAGTTTGTGGTACTGATGGTCATCATCTTGTCCATCTGTACTTCTGAACATAACTTAGTTATTCAAAAACTCATCACATGGTTTGCAGTGTATATAGGTCAATGACAAAAGAATATTACATTTGTTTGGATCAATAAGAGAACCAAGATGGCTAACATTTTATCGAATTGACTTACTTGGTGATCCGAGGTCATTGTGACATTTTGTTTAGTGGCTGTCCATTCAACATCCCAGTTTTCTGTACCAATATACTGGTCTTTACAACGAAGAAAATTCCAATTCTGTGAAAAACAAGGAAAGTCCCAATTTTGTGCTAAACAAGGAAAATTCCAATTCTGTATGAACCAAGGAAAATTCCAATTCTGTGAAAAACAAGGAAAGTTAGAATTTTGTACTAAACAAGGAAGGTCTTAATTTTGCATGAACCAAAGAAACTCCTAATTTTGTAATTAGGTAAAGATTGTATTACTCGTATGAAATGTTTTCATGTGTTTCATTTCCGCTGATATATATGATATGTTGGCCAGTTTGTCAATGTTATTCATGCAATTAACTGTGAAAATTTTAGCCCTCCAAAAAAAAAATATTTGCAGTAAGTAAGCTTGTCAAAACTGTAATCTTTTGTATCAAAACTCCTTAATGAAAATTTGACTGCTTTGTTTTTGTTTTACTTGCAAAGTTACATAAGCACAGTGGATTTTCTATCAACTTGGAAAACAGCCTACAGAAAGTATTTTCTTATTTCATATCAGCATGTCGTTCATTGTCCTACATGAATGCCATTATTGTTATAACACTCGCTGTACATCTTGTTATGAAAAATTTAACAGAGATGTTTTAGCGTTATTTAGGGACAATTGACATTATGGTAGCAGACATAGGATAACGTAAACAGAAGGTAGGGACCGATATATATATAAGATATCTCACAGGTAAATCAATTATATCTATATATATATAGGTGTAGGATGGAAAAAGTGCATCCGTTTACTGTGAAATTGGTGAATTACCATGGCAACCAAACAGGTTCTCTGGTCTCAAGATCATTTGTTGAGAACAGACTGCATATGGGTAAAGTACATTTATATACTTTCATATTCAGAATATGTGATTAGGAGGTATGTTTATGCAAATCAGATTCATATTTTGAAAACTGATTCGGGTGCTATGTACATTTTGTAAGTATGATAGCCACATGACTTTGACATTTTTTGCCGTAAATGCTGTTAGCCAAACAATTTGATGTGCATGATGACAGAGTAAATTGGAAGGGCCATGGGACTTTAATATTTCTAGGGTATAGCTCATTAGGGGGTTGGAAGGAGCCCCTACAATAGCTGGATGATGACTTGTCAAACAACTTGCTTCATTTTGTACTGTGAGATGAGTGTTTGCTTAAAGGTAGCTATGTGTCACACTGTATACCCTTATTTGAATCCAAAATTTTTTGAAAAATGACTCAAATTCAATTTTTTTTTATTCCAAATATTTAACTACTATGAAAAATATGACATTGAATTTTTTTTCACTGATATATCATTATTTTTTTGTTTACTTTTTGTTTACTAATATATCATTGATTTTTTGTTTACAGATATGAGAAGTGGGATCTTCATTGCGAAAAGCTGACAAGTTGAAAAGGTGAAAACACAGGAATTTGGAGTTTAAAATCATTTAACAGACATGGATTTCCTGCGAAGACGTTTGTCACAAGGAGGAAGTAGCGATGAGGAGCAGAGGTCTTCATCGTCAAGTATATCAGAAGGAACTTCTAGATTTTTTAGCTCAGTTGTTGCAAAAAAGAACGGATTATTGAACAATATTTCCTCCAAGATTGAAAACGTTGGAGCTCGTTTGACAAAGTCTTCAAGTAGTAGTTATGATTCAAGCAGTGGTGAAAATAGTCCCACTTTTCTCCCGACACCAACAAGTGAGAAATCAAAAGATACGTTGTTTCCAGACCATGATAATTATGATACAAAATCTGTGAGTTCTTTTGCCTCAACTATAAACCCAAGTGTTCAAATTCAATACGGTCGTGACCGCCATGACAGTTCTTCAGGATATTCGGACAGTAGTGGAAACGCGGACAATCACTCGTTATCCAATATAAACATGAGTTTTGAGGAGCCTCTCTACTCTCCAACAGGTAAAGTACCAGTGGATACTATTGAATCACATTACGATCATCAATTCATAGAAAAAAGTGCAAACGAACGGAATGAAAAGGATAATATTCAGTACCATAATGGAAACAACCATCAAGTGGTTGCAGATGTACATGTCGACCAGTCGAATTTCATCGATAGACACAAAGTAAGTGCTGCACACATAAAGAGCCCATCTTCTCCAACCATATCATCCCCTGATTCAGGGAAGTCGACACCTTCTGAGGTATTCCGTAAAAACGGATCTCGACCAAGAGCACCGAAATTTACAACAACAAAGCGTAGGTCAAGCACGGTGGACGAAATGCTTTTTGATGATTATGTCCCACCCCCAGAGGAGGTTGAACATGAACATGATGACGAGACTGCAGATCAGGTTGGCGCATTGGTGGAACCAGACACAAAGACTTCAAATCGCAGGAGTCTGATACCTCTTGGAGATCTTATGTCTTTTGATGATGACCAGGAAAGTGAAAAGGAGATTTTAAACAATAAACAAAAGATCCAGCCCACCGTTACCGATAGTAACACACCAAACGTGACAAACAACCGTGTCTCACTCGAACAGAGTGTTAGTAGCATAGACAGTTCAGAGTGGGGAGGCTACGATCAACAGACAAGTGTCGACTCCTCGGAAAACGACTTTGGGGGTTATCAGATACGACATCGGACCGGATCAATGGGGTCAGAGAACTCCTGGAGCTCTTCATACAGTATAGAAAGCCAGCCTGATGATATCACACTGGAATGTATGAGCTTTATGAAGCAATTTGTTGAAAAAATCTTCAATACCAGGTAAGTTTTATACAGCATATGTTTGTAACAGGAAGTGTAGGTAAATTGGCATGTAGATATACAAGTGTCTGTTTTTTTGCAAAGAAAGTGATTTTATTTGATTAAAATTTCTGATTGAAATTAGTTGTCACTGTTTTATGCTTTATAATTTTTCAATATTATTTGCAGATTGATAAGTTTTTAAGATTGAGTGTGAGGTAGGTATAAATAAAACAGTGTATACATTGTACATAAAAATGTCAACTATATACACACAGGAATTTGACTTAATCAGTAATACTGGGATTTAAAATCTTTTTGCTTGTGGTCAGTTTTTCAATATATAGTTTCACATGTAGATTCAAGTAGATTGATGAATTTTTCAAGTAAATAATTTGTTTTGCTGAATAGTATCTTGTTTTCATATCTGCTTTACAACTGTCGTCTGCTATTCGGGTTTAGTGATTGTAACAGATGGTTGAGCACATTATGTGGGTTCAGATCACACATGTAGCCTTGAACTATGTCAAATATATTCCATATACACTGCTGTGTATGAATGACAGCTAAAAGCATGTTGAACAGACAATGTGTTCCTAAAGTACTTTTATAGAAAGTGCCAAAACTTTACTTAACAAAAGCGTGGTTCCAGATCAGCAAGCGAAAGCAGAAATGAAACAACACAGGTGTTGAATTGAAAACAAACTAAAGAGAGTTCTATATCTGTACAAGTATACCTGTGTAAGCTGTGGCAAATTTTTTATGTAGAAATTTGCAGGTGGTTTTTGATATTATGAAAAGCTCCTTCTATAATCACACTACATCCCTCGATAAACCAATAGTTGCCTTCTTCATTATATAGTCATTATCATTTTTCTTATTTTCGTAACAAAGTATCAAAACGTGAAAAAAAGGTGAACATAGGCACCAATACAGCAGAATAATTCGTATACATGACATCAAATTTATCATATAACTGGCCTGTTGTGTCACATTATACATCCATGTCATAAAGATTGTAAAACACATGTGTAAAGACATTATCATGACGTCATGAATAAGTAGCATCTTGATTATGTCACATGGTTGTCTCATTAGCTCTAATGAAAAATGTACCTACAAATTTGAAATAAGTCTGTCGGGAGATTAATTTAAGAGTTCTTGCTGAATTTTTTTTCAGAAATATGAGATATATGATAAATAGAATCTTACACTCTTTAATCTGCTACTCAACTGAAGGGTTGTGATATCGAATTATTGAGCTTGTTAATAAATTCTATACACATATACAATCGTGTACAATTCTATATTTATCTAAATTTTCATGTAATCTACAGATTTATCCTTCACTCGGATGTTAGTTACAATATATTTCTTCTGTGTATAAATGGGTTTCTCTCTCTTTATCTCTCCCTCTCTCTTTCTCTCTCTCCTCTCTTTCTCTCTGTCTCTCTCTCTTTCCATCTCTCTCTTCTCTCTCTTTCTCTGTCTCCCTCTCTCTCCATCTCTCTCTCTCTCTCTCTGTCTCTTTCTCTCTGTCTCTGTCCCTCTGTCTCTGTCTCTGTCTCTGTCTCTCTCTCTCTCTCTATCTCTCTCTCTCCCTCTCTCTCCAGCAACAGAATCAACTGCAACATTGTTTTAATGTTGAAAGTGCAGAAATAAAATCATTGATTTCAGATTTACAATACCCATTGAAGTTTGTCCAGCATGTTTATTGCAAATCAATGTTTATTCATGAAACACAATGTAATGGCTATACTTTTACAGGTAATCCAATGCTGTGGTATTTGTGTTAGTTTTTTTTGTTTTTTTTTGGACATTCAAAATTATTCATTGCACCTAATGGATCTGTAGTCGAAGTTTAATTGTGCGCACTATGTTTGTTCTGCTTGAGGTCCAGGGTCTGACACATTATACATCTATTGTTCTCAGTCAGGGGTGGTGGGATGTCGGGGGAGGGGGCGGCTTATAAAAATGAATACTGAAAGAGCAAATTAGGGTGATTCTACTGAACAAGGTGCATATGTGGGTGGGCTTATTATAAGACATGGCTTATTACCAAATTATTATGGTAATGTAATGAATAAATGAATATGTGATTAACAGCTACAATTGAAATAGATAACGATTTTACATACCAGGTCTTTCACGAAATGTTTGTCATGATCTCTCTGAATGAACACCAATCTTTCACCCATCTTTCTAAATGATACTTTATCTTCTTTATAACACCCTTACAAATTCTGTTGTCTTTTGAAGTACCCGTATTCACCCTTCACTTTTCCTCTCATTCATTCGTCACTTTTCCTCTCATTCACTCGTGACTTTTCCTCTCATTCACCCGTCACTTTTCCTCCCATTCATTCGTCACTTTTCCTCTCATTCACCCGTCACTTTTCCTCTCATTCACTCGTCACTTTTCCTCTCATTCACCCGTCACTTTTCCTCTCATTCATTCGTCACTTTTCCTCTCCTTCACCCGTCACTTTTCCTCTTACTCACCCGTCACTTTTCCTTTCACCCGTCACTTTTCCTCTCTCATTCATTTGTCACTTTTCCTCTCATTCACTCGTCACTTTTCCTCTCATTCACCCGTCACTTTTCCTCTCATTCATTCGTCACTTTTCCTCTCATTTACTCGTCACTTTTCCTCTCATTCACCCGTCACTTTTCCTCTCATTCATTCGTCACTTTTCCTCTCATTCACCCATCACTTTTCCTCCCGTCACTTTTCCTCTCATTCATCCTTCACTTTTCCTCTCACTCACTCGTCACTTTTCCTCTCATTCACTCATCACTTTTCCTCTCATTCACCCTTTTTCACTTTTTTCCTCTCATTCATTCACCCACTTTTCCTCTCATTCATTTGTTACTTTTCCTCTCATCACTTTTCCTCTCATTCATCCTTCACTTTTCCTCTCATTCACCCGTCACTTTTCCTCTCATTCACCCGTCACTTTTTCTCTCATTCACCCATCACTTGTCCTCTCATTCACCCGTCACTTTTCCTCTCATTCATTCGTCACTTTTCCTCTCATTCACCCGTCACTTGTCCTCTCATTCACCCGCCACTTGTCCTCTCATTCACCCATCACTTTTCCTCTCATTCACCCGTCACTTTTCCTCTCATTCATTCGTCACTTTTCCTCTCATTCACCCGTCACTTTTCCTCTCATTCACCCTTCACTTTTCCTCTCATTCACCCGTCACTTTTCCTCTCATTCACCCATCACTTTTCCTCTCATTCACCCGTCACTTTTCCTCTCATTCACCCGTCACTTTTCCTCTCATTCACCCGTCACTTTTCCTCTCATTCACATGTCACTTTTCCTCTCAATCACCCGTCACTTTTCCTCTCATTCACCCGTCACTTTTCCTCTCATTCACCCTTCACTTTTCTTCTCATTCACCCGTCACTTTTCCTCTCATTCACCCGTCACTTTTCCTCTCATTCACATGTCACTTTTCCTCTCATTCACCCTTCACTTTTCCTCTCATTCACCCATCACTTTTCCTCTCAATCACCCGTCACTTTTCCTCTTATTCACCCGTCACTTTTCCTCTCATTCACCCGTCACTTTTCCTCTCATTCACCCATCACTTTTCCTCTCATTCACCCGTCACTTTTCCTCTCATTCACATGTCACTTTTCCTCTCATTTACATGTCACTTTTCCTTTCATTCACCCATCTCTGTAAATTCTTATTTTGTCTCTTCAGATGTCCATTTTATCCAACAATTACTCACCTTCATCATTAACCTATGAAAGGAATGTGTTCCTGTGGTGTTTAAAATTTAATAAATTTGATCACAGTCACTCAGATTATAGAGCATGCTTCTGTGGGTCAGTTGGTAGAGATGCGGATAACACACCAGAGACCTGCGTTGGATGCCTGTCAGGGCACTCAGCAGAAATATGGTTTCCTGTTCTGTTACGCTGGTGCCAAAACGAAATCCTACATGTTGTGGTATTTTTAGAGTCGCCCGTCATGATAAATAGGAAATCTCAGGAAAACCAGTGTAAGAGGAATGGGTCGGTGTGACTTGTACACAGTGTGATGTTCTCTGTCAATCAGCTGATACAGAATGCTTAATTGGCTCATTTGCAGGTAGAGTCATGGTATTACCATAACAAAGCCCTAGACTCAGTTCTGGACACAGCAGAAATGTCTTTTTTTCTAAAAATGTTCACTTTATAATCTCCCATCCCCCTCTTTTTTCATCCATCCTAAAAACGAATCAGTTTCCACCCTGACCCAATATCAATCTTTTATTTTTATGAATGGCATTCAGGGGAAGCTTGAGACATGCAGCTATCCTTTCTATAAGGATAAATCTAGAGGGGCTCTGTCCTTTTCCTACCCCTCCAGATTCCCAACCACTTAATCCAGACAGACACCATTTCTCAACTTACCTCCTACAACTTTCCAAACACTTCACTAAATGGGTGTAATATGTCTCAATATACAGAGGGTACCATTAGGTTATTGCAACTCAGAATCATGGGGTGGGCTTATTACAGGACACTGAACCAATCATATATTCAACTGAACAGCAATAAATACATGGAGTTCTTGCGAGGCACAAACATATATATTGGATAGTTGCTAAATGTTGCTAAATAAAATCTAATCAACGAGCTCACTGACTAAACGACAAAGAATGTTCTAGATCAGAAAAACAACCATGGATTTTATCATGAGATTTGTTTACACCCAATATTGCTGACTAACACCACAATGGAGCTGCTTTCATCAGAGCTCATATTTATCCTCGTCCACTGAAATATGAAATTACAATCTGTCTGTTAGCGGGCATATTTATTGTCTGTGACAATCTGAAATATAGATAATCGGAAATATTCCATTTCCTGAGTTGGGATGAAATGCCATCCACGAACAGATCTAATCAATAATGACAGATTCTTGTACATAGAAATTTTTTATCGGGGTTTGCTTTCTTTCATAATAACAGTATTTATCTTACAAAAAGCCCAGGGAAAGAAGGTGGAGGCTACATAT